CCCATACATTTAGAATATTGGTGTCCTCCTTGTCATTCAATTCAAAGAATTTTTTAATTTCTTCTTTGATCTCCTCGTTAGTCCAGTGGTCTTCCAGTAGTGTGGCTTTTAATCTCCATGAGGTAGGATAGTACCTTGCCTTCTTTTTATGATTTATTTCTAGTTTGATGCCTTCGTGGTCAGAAAAGATGGTTGGTATGATTTCAATCTTGGTGTATCTGTTGATGTTTGTCTTGTGCCCCAGTATGTGATCGATCCTGGAGAATGATCCGTGTGCGCTTGAGAAAATGTGTACTCCGTTTTTTTGGTTTAGTGTTCTATAGATGTCTGTTAAGCCCAAATGCTCTAGGTCCTTATTTAGAGCTTTAGTTTCTTTTTTTTTTTTTTTTTTTTTTATAGAGGCATGTTTTATTTATTTATTTATTTGTTTCTTCATTTGTTTTGTTTATACATGCACTGGGTACAGTCTGAGAGAATTCACCAGAGCCAGAGCGGGGAGCAGAACAGGCAGAAGGACCGAAGTACATGCTCTAGGTCTGCGCACCATGTGGGACCCTCCTTGGCCGGGGAGCAGCCGGGAATCGAACCGGCGCCGCAGAGGCTTTCGCAACCCAGCGCTCTTTAGAGCTTTAGTTTCTTTACTTATTTTTTGTCTTGTTGATCTATCCATTGTTGATAGTGGTGTGTTGAAGTCTCCCACTACATATGTGTTTTCTCTGATGTCTGTTTTCAGAGAGGACAACAGTTGTCTGATATATTTTGGTGCTCTTTCGTTTGGTGAGTATATGTTAATGAGTGTTATTTCTTCTTGAAGTATTGTCCCCTTAATCATAATGTAGTGACCATTGGGGTCTCTTTTTATTTTTTTGAGTGTGAAGTCTGTTTTATCTGATATAAGTATAGCTGTTCCTGCTTTCTTTTTTGGCCCATTTGCTTGTAGGATTGTTTTCCATCCTTTGACTTTGAGCCTATTTTTATCTTTTGTAGCTAAATGTGTTTCCTGGAGACAGCAAAAGGTTGGGTTTTGTTTCTTAATCCAGGCTGCAACTCTGTGTCTTTTTATTGAAGAGTTTAGTCCATTTACATTTAGAGTTAATATTGATATGTTAGCATCTGTATTTGCCATTATGTTTGTCTTTCCTTTGATTTTATTTATTTATTCTTTTAATAACTTTTTTTTTTTTTTTTTGGTCTTCTTTCGTTGTTATTCGTCCCTCTGAGGTTCTGGCTTTAGGATTCCTTGTAGTATTTTTTGGAGTGGGGGTTTAGTCGCAATGAAATTCCGGAGTTTCTCTTTGTCTGGGAAGGTCCATATTCTTTCTTCATGGAGGAAAGAGAGCTTTGCGGGATAGAGTATTCTTGGTTGGCATCTGTTTTCTTGGAGTCTGTTGACTATGTCCCTCCACTCTCTCCTTGCCCGTAGTGTTTCTTCAGAGAAGTCTGATGTCAGCCTGATTGGTTTTCCTTTGAATGTTATCTGTTTCTTCCCTCTTGTCAGCTTCATTATTTTTTCCTTGTCCTGGATTCTTGGGAGCTTTACTATTATGTGTCTTGCTGTGTTTTTCCTTTCGTCGTGGAAGTTTGGTGTTCTTCTTGCTTCTTGTATATCAATTTTCAGCTCCTTCTTCTCATTTGGGAAGTTCTCTTCAATTATATCCATGAATATTTTCTCTGTTCCTACATCTCTCTCCTCTCCTTCTGGAATTCCTATAACTCTTATATTTCCTTTCCTCATGGAGTCAGATAGTTCCCGAAGTCTTTCTTCATTCTTTTTCCTTCGTACTTCTCTTTCCTTTTCTGTTTTGGTTCTTTTTATTTCTGTGTCTTCAAGATTACTTATTCGTTCTTCCATTTCATCTATTCTGCTTTCATTGCTTTTCCCAGAGTTCTTTAGTTCCTCCATTAATTCTTTGATCTCCTGCATTTCTCTTACTTCCCTCTTTAGGGACTCAATTTCCTTCTTCTGATCTATCACTTTTTTAATCATGGCAATTTTAAATTCTCTTTCTGGAAGGCTCAGAAGTTCTTCCAAGTTGCTGTCGTTGCAATCTGGGGAGTGGTTTTCTTTTTGTGGTGTGCTTCTTTCCTGAGGAGTTTTTAGGTTGCGTGTGGTTCTTCTACTCCCTACTGTCTGTTTTCTAATTTGTCGTATGCGTTGGGACACTGTGTTGCTCGGACTGACTGACATCTTGGGTGAACTTCTCCGCTCCCCTCTGGCTCTTCCAGGAGCCATCTCTGTCTTCTGGGGGAGCTTTCTGCTGGTTTTAGGCAGTTTTTACTGAAGAAATGTCCCTGTTCTCAAATGGCGAAGCGGGATGCAGTCCCTGCGCCTCCGGTTTCAGGCACACTCTTCTGCGCACCCAGTCTGCCCCAGACGTGGGTGCCTGCTCCCTCTGTGGGCTCAGACTGCTGATCAGAAGGGGCCTGGCATGGAATAACTTCCCGGCTGGCCACTGGGTCCTCCAGAAACCTTCTGCCCTTTTCAAGCAGTCTTAAGAAATGTCCTGTTTTATAGGGTGTTAGTGACTTTTTTTTTCCTGGTCGCTAGGTGGCGCCAGAGATCTCTCCTATTGTCCTTGGGGGGCTGTTTTTCGCCTCCCCCCACCCCGTGGGACAGAGAACAGAGCGGGAATGGTACGGTACACCTCAACAGCTTTGGGGTGCTGTGTCTGCCTTGTGCCCCACCGTCGTGGAGAAACCACGCCCCGAATTTTCGTGCCCCGGGTCTCAGTTCAAAGCCCTCAGTTCCAGGACGCGGGCTGTAGCCCAGTTCAGTGGCGCGGGAATGGCGCCTTTTGCACAGCTCCCGTGCCTGGGCGCCTGGTTCCTGCTCACTCAGGGAGGGACCTTCACCTCAGTGAGGACCTCCGTGTGTCTCCCGCAAGCCTAGGTCGTCTCCCCGCAAGCCTAGGTCGCAGGCGCGGGGACCTGGGCAGCCGAGATCCAGGTCTGCACTTGCTTTTCAAGCTCCCCGAGCGCGCCGCTCTCCGCGCCAGCTTACCGGCAGCCCGGGCTGTGTGCGCGTCTCCCGGGGTCTTTGTTCTTCTCTAATGGCGCCCGGAGCGGATCCTGCAGGGTTCGCCTCAGCTCCCGTTCACGGGGTGTGGTGGCTGCAATAGTTCCTTTCCACTCACAGTCCCGCTTGCTGCGTCGTTTGTTCTTGTGGGCCGTTTTGGTGTGTTGTTTCCTCCTCTCTGCCGGTTGGAGAGTGCCGCCTCTGTGGGCGGGGGAGGGGAGCAGGGTTCTGCGCTTCCCTCCCTTCTAGTCCTCTTTTATGGCCAGTTTCTTCTTCGGGCAGTTCGCTGGCGTCACCCGTTTATCTTCCGTGTCCCAGTTCTCACTGGGACCTGCCGCTTTTCCTCCCTATTCACTTTTTTTAATGGGAGATCTTACTCGCAGCGTCTCCTTGCCGCCATGTTGCTCCGCCCCCTCTCCTTATTCCGCATTCCATTCATTTTAAAGCGTTCCCGCTTGGATTTTTAAAATGTCAAATGGTTACAAGGAAGTCAGTGTTACAGAATCTCCAGACCCATTTGTTTTCTCGGTAGAAATTTCCCTGGTTAAGAAATGTATCTCGGTCCTTTGGGTAGATCCCTAGCAGTGGAATTGCCAGGTGGTATGGTAGCTCCATTGTTAGTAGACTGAGGAACCTCCAGACAGCTTTCCATTGTGGCTGGGCCAGTTTGCACTCCCACCAGCAACGTAGGAGAGTTCCTTTTTTACCACAGCCTCGCCAACATTTGTTGCTTGTTTTTTTGGTATGTGTCATCAAAAACATTGATTCAAAAGAACATCTGTACACCTATGTTTATTGCAGCACTATTTACAGTAGTTAAAACCTGGAAACAACCCAAATGCCCAAAAATAGATGACTGGATCAAGAAGATGTGGTATATATACACAATGGAATATTATTCGGCAATCAAAAAAGATAAACTGATGCCATTCACAGCAACATGGATGGAGCTAGAAGGAATTATGCTCAGTGAAATAAGCCAGAAGGAAAAAGAAAAAATATCGATGGTTTCAGTTATAGCAGGAATATAGGGGAAACCAAATAAGACATCAGTGTAAAAAAATAACAACAGTACAAAACACAACAAAGCAAAATTGGACAATTATAAAGCAGAGACATCCTGCAGGGGAGGAGGCGGGAGAGGGATCAGAGGGAGGGAGGGAGCAGCACAGGGGGCTGAGGTGATGGTGCACGGGTGCATTGGGGAAGGAAACTCTATGGGACTACACCTGAGGGGGGTGGGGGGAAGCAAGTATTGTTTAAAAATGAACAATGATGTAAAAAATTTTTAAAAATTAATTTTAAAAAAGTAAAAATCAGAATCAACTAGCAACTATAAACCAGAGACACACTGCGGGGGGAGAGGGGCTAGGAGAGATTATGGTCAAAATAAGGGGGGTGGGAATTGTATGGGGACTATAGCCAAGATGAAAATGCATGCATTGTGCAAAATGAAAAATGATGTAAAAAATATATAAAATAAAATTTTAAAATGCATCTTGGAGCCTTCCTGGTGGTGCAGGGGTTAAAGTTTCAACACTGTCAAGCTGTCACCAGCCACTACAGCACGAGTTCAATCCCTGGCCAGGTTGCTGACCCACATGGCACAGCAGACCTCTCCTGTCTGGCCCGCTGCTCCCCTCAGCAGTGTATTTCAGTCCATCTGCCTGTTCTGCTCCCCATTCTGTCTCTAGTGAATCCTCTCAGGCCCCGCACCTCTGGTCTACACCCCAGTTCTTGTATGCATAAATTAAAAAAATCTAAAAAAAAAAATATTTCTTGATGGAAAGGAAAAACAGTCATTCTCTTCCCAGCTCTGTCCCTCCCAAAGGGGAGGATTCCTCCATCCTCTCCACGGGTCCAGAGTCGCTGGTGGCATAAAGGAAAGAATGTGAATGCTGAGAATTAGCATTAACTGTGATGCTGAAAAATGCTGGCAATGGAGCGTGGGATGCCCACCCCAGAACTGGCTTTGAAGTGAAAGCATGGCCAAGCCGCTAACTCTCACTCCTTTTCTTCCTCTTGGCGGGGTCTCCCAGAACCAGGCAGCGGGCAGGTGTTTGTGACTTCGGAAAACCAGCTGGTGTACTACCCCAGCATCACCTACGCCATCATCGGCAGCTCCGTCATCTTCGTGCTGGTGGTGGCCCTGCTGGCGCTCGTCCTGCACCACCAGCGGAAGCGGAACAACCTCATGACGCTGCCCGTGCACCGGCTGCAGCACCCTGTGCTGCTCTCCCGGCTGGTGGTCCTGGACCACCCCCACCACTGCAACGTGACCTACAACGTCAACAATGGCATCCAGTACGTGGCCAGCCAGGCCGAGCAGAACGCGTCGGAAGTGGGCTCCCCACCCTCCTACTCAGAGGCACTGCTGGACCAAAGGTATGTGCTGGGTGAGAGAGACAGAGAGCGGGGCGGACCGTGGTGGGGGGACTTCATCCAGTTCGAGGAGGGGGATGTGTGCACACACCTGGGTCTTGAGGTTTTGCCAAGAGCCTGCATTCAGCTGCTGAAGGCACCGGCCGCATCTTGCATTTGCTGAGTCTTTGCAAAACGTCTCACTCTCATCATCTAGTTAACCTCATCCACGCACCAAGCGAGGTTCTATATTTGCCTCAATTTTACAGATGAGGAAACAGGTACTGAGATTTGAAGTTACGGCTGGTCCTTGAATAACCTTTTGTTCTAATGTTGATGAGAAAACAGTTACACATCCTTCTCTGAAAACCATGGCTTCCAAGAACCTATTTATGAGGTTAAATGAGGAGTCTGACTGTGCTTGTCTGAGGCTATGCAGTTAGGATCCCGGTCACCCCCTGGTCATTCCACACCAGCAGGCATTGGACCTCTGACTAGCTCTGAGGCCTCACCAGCTACCCCTGGGCAGTGCCCAGTATGTAGGGAGATGTGGTTTGTGAAGTGATGGATGGATGGATGACTGAATGAATGAATGAATGAATGAATGAACAAATAAGTTCCTCAACTTCGTGTGGCCTCATCTATAAAATAGAGGTGATGGAAGAGAGCCATCTGGAGCTTCCTTAAGCAGGAGAGCTCTGGTGACAAGTAGGGTTGCACAAGATACCCAACATACAAAATCAGAAAAGCAGAACTCTGTCATGCTTAGCCCGCCTGCCTCCTTTGTTGCCCACCTCCAAGACCCCATTTTGAAGCCCCTGGAGGGCCCCGCTCAGTATCACCATCCTCTGACCCCAGGACTCACTGTGTGGCCAGGGGTATTTTATAGGCTGCGTTCTCAGGGTGACTCTTCAGGCCCCTCTCTGGTGGCAACGCTTGTATCATTTAATCTTATTTTCTCTCTTCAAAAGGTGAGAGTAGCTTGGGGACAGTGCTTAAGGATCTCCTTACAAATAAGTGTAAGGGCGCAGGTCTTCACTCACCCCGCATAACCTCTTCGTTTGGGCTATCCAGTATGGACGAAGGCTAAGCTGCTGAATTTAAAGACAAGAGTACCTGGGTTCAAATCCCGGCACTGCTGCTTACTAGTGAACTGTGATCCTGTGCAGTCACTGACTATACCATTGCCTCAGTTTCCTCCCCAGTACCATAAAAGTCGTGGCTCCCAGTTAGCATCCTTGGGAGCATCCTTAAATAAGGTCACTAGTGTGAGACACGTGGAACGGTGCTGACTCTCAGTAAGCCATCAGTAACAGCTGAAAAACAAAATGTCCTCTGCTACTTCATTGCCACCACGGTGTTTTCATTATCCCATTCTGCAGCTACAGAGATTGAGTCCTCGAGAAGCTGCCCTCTCACTTATGCAGGTCCGCACAGGCAGGAAGAGGTGGCTTTCAGTTAGAACCTCAGATTCTGTAGACCATTAGTGGCTCCATCAAAGCAGCAACCCAGCCTCTTGGCCACAGGCCCCTAGCTGGGGGAGCCAAGCAGCCCCGCCAAACCATCTAGGATGATCCCAGGGAGCCCTTGGCGTCCTCATGCTGGGCCCACCCAGAGGATGTGGCTTTGGCACTGCCCACTTGCAAAGACCCGCCAGCACACTGACCCTTTGTCTTGTTGCAAACCACTGCTTCTCTGGGTGCTTGGATTGCCTTTATACTCAGAGGGAAAATCTCATCACTCACATCAGCATCCGCTCAGCAACGGGCAGAAGTTGGCTGAGCTTCCTTGCCTGGGCGCTAACGCATTCTCTTCTTTCTCCCCGATCTCCTCCACCCATCCTGCTTTCTCCATGCAGACCCGCGTGGTACGACCTTCCTCCGCCTCCCTACTCTTCGGACACCGAGTCCCTGAACCAAGCCGACCTGCCCCCTTACCGCTCCAGGTCCGGGAGTGCTGAGAGCGCCAGCTCCCAAGCAGCCAGCAGCCTCCTGAGCGTGGAAGACAGCAGCCATGGCCCGGGGCAGCCTGGCCCTGCAGAGGGTGCTGCTGAGCCCAGGGACTCTGTGCCCAGCCAGGGCGCCGAAGAAGTATAAAATCCAGTTATTCCTGAGTCCATATGAGTTAATCTGCTCTGACTTGTTACCGTCCCACAACTCGTGCTCATGGGAAGCTCCTCAGGGTGCTGCAAGGAGTGATTTGGGGTGTCTCTCCACTCTCCTCCTCCCCCAGATTTCAGGGATGTTCTTTGGAGGGTGACCTGGCATTTTGCTGGCCTCTCAGTTGACGTGATGTATTGTGCATCTCTGCTGGGAGATCAGCCTTCCTTCGGGGCCCAGATCACAGCCTCACACACCACATCATTCTTCTGTTACTGTTGGAATCTTGCTGAGTAAGCAGCATAAATTTGCAGGCAGTGGGATAAAAAGGTGTTTAAGTGGTCTTAGAGAAAGCAGTGTTTCCGGGCGTTGCTGTATCTTCAGAGGGGCAGAAGGCACTGTGGGCTGCTACTTTCGGTGAGCTACCTTCTCCCTCCATTTGGGGGTAGGGGTGGATGAGCCTGCAGGAGGCAGGCGTGGGCTGGCCACCCTGGAAGGGGTCCGGGTCAGCATTCAGACCTGCCTGCGCCAGCCTATCCATACATTGCTTTCAGCTCAGCAGAGGCAGCGGCCAAAGAAAACGGTTGACATGAGTTTGCACCCATCAGTGCTTGGCAGTGTCATGAATGACTGAAACCATCTACTCTGGATGGATTCAAGTTTAAAATTTTTACCCACAGATCCTCTTTTTGAGAGCTTTCCTCTGGCGGCATATAGCATCAACCTCATCCCAGTTCACACAGGGACCCCCCCACTGCAAGTTTACCCGAATTTTCAGCTCCTGAAGTGCAGGCTGCCAAGTGTCTGGTCTGCTTTGGTGATTGTTCCCTCCCAGCTGACCTGCCGAAGGCAGATGATCCAACTTGAGTTGGCCAAAAATCTCATCTGCCCCTTGGTTTCTGGAATCACACCCAACCTGCCTTGCCTGTTCATGCAGCTTCAGTGCTGGCCTCCCAGTTTCCCTCAGTACTCAGAATTCTCTTATCTGTGCCTTTGGACTTGAGAACACTGTGGTTTCTAACACATGCGAGAACCATACTCATTACCTCCCGCTGCCTGTGCTGCCCACACTCCCCTGCCCAAAACCCACATACCAGCACTCTCATTTAGGGTTAGGATTAGGTTTAGAGTTTCTCCTCAGAGATGTGGACAATAGACAACTTAGAGTCAAGATTTGCCATTCGGACTTAGTTTTTTTTTAAATCTCTTAGAAATGCATTTAAAACAGTGTGTTTGTTTTTTCCCTTCTAGTTAAGGGACTATTTATATGTGTATAGGAAAGCTGTCCTCTGTTGTTTTTCCTTTAGTGAGGTCCAAAGAAAGATGCAAAAGGAGATCACGCCCGTGTCCCGCTGAGCGCTCAGGACCCGCCACCCATTGCGGCTGTGTGCCGTTGCACTTTGTGTTATTATTTATGGAGTTCTTGGAAGATGCAGGAGGGACGTCTTCCCTCTTGGTTCACAGTCTCTGCTTATGCTAGCCTCCCTCTGTCTGTGTGCCCAGCCAGCCACAGGGCCCCCACCCCCTCGGGAAATAATTGGTAGGAACTTAGATGTTTTGGGGGCTAGAAATCACCCCAACTCTCTGAGGACAGAACTGGACCCAGACGCAGCCACTGCAGGCAGCTCTCATCCATCCAGGGCTTCTTCCCACAGCGGAAGGACTTTTCAGTAATAACCTCTTTGAAGCTCACTCAAGTGGCACCTGCAAGAGGGGGCGTGAATGGCATTCAGTGATCCTGTTCTGCAGACTTTTTTTTTTTTTAAACGAATCCAAAGTATGTTACAGGAAAGTGAGCCACTTGGTGATTTTTTTTTTTTCAAGTAAAAGAAAAGGAAGCTAGTAACTTGCATCTTTCACTTTTAAAATAACACTTGAGTTGATTGCTGAGTAATCCAGTAAAGAAGGAACTTTAGATGGCAGCCAGAGTGGGTTAGAAACTCTAGCTGAACATTTCATCTCCTATGAGTCAGAATGCCTTTATTTCTCCCTGCTTCTTTCTGGTGCTGTGAAAGTTGTTTAGAGGGAAGGAGTCTTATTTTAATTAATTGTGCGGTGAATTAATCTCACATGCTTTTCTGCTGCCAGACATCTTAGAAAAAACAAATGGTCTTAGTAGATAAGGAGAGCCTATTAATGTTTTTTTAAAACAAACACAGGGACATTTTTATTATAGATTTGATTTTTTAATGAATGTTTTTTAAAAAATATATAAATAGGACACCAAAGCTTCAGGGGTTTGTTTTTTGTTTTTCCCCTTCTCAAGATGACAAAGAAGTGGCCAGCAATATTTTTTCACTCATTCCAGCCAGGATGTTTTTTTATACATAGCCTAAATTGTATGCCAACCGGAAAACCATCTCTTCTCTCTTTCCTCAGATGAGATCAGTGAGTCCTTTTTGTGCTAGCATTAAAATAATTTCACTGCAATCAGTCTCTTATCACCTACCCAATTCCCTCTATTTTGAAGTTGACATTATTTTTAAATTGCAACTAAGTGGTTAATAAATATTGTGTGATGTTCCAAGCTGATGTAAACTGGAAAGGTTGTGTGTGGTTGCTTTTTGGTTTTGGTTAGGTTTTGTTTTGTTTTTTTAATTTTTATACTTTCAAATAAACTTGCAATTTCATTCTTTCTATTGGTGTTGGATGGTTATTTCTGTCATAACGTCTGCAATGAATGTACATCATAATAAAAGGAGGACAGGAAGGGGCGCACTGATGAGAGCTCAACATGAGGATCCCAAGCTGGTGTGGTTGGAATATGGAGGTGAAGTCTGGGACACCCTGTGATGTCAGTTCAGAAGATGGATATGAATTGCCACAACAGTGGGCACCCTCTGATAACTGTCAAGATACAAATTCTTGCCCTACAGGAGCTGCCCTACAGCTCCTGGACAGTGCTATGACCGTCATTCTTGTTGAACCACAAATGGCTCAGATTTGACTCCACCCTTGATGGGAACAACTTTCTGCTCTTCTAAGTCTCATTTTGGAACCATATGTTGACTGATGGTGCAGGGACAGTTATACAGGAATTCAGGTTGTCTTGGAGGTCACCACCACCATCAAGTTCCACCCACAGAGTGGAGAAGTTACCTTGGCTTTGGCCAAAGTCCACTGAATTTCTAAACACAGGATCTACAGGGCTAAGATTTAGGTCACATATTCATTCCTGTACATCTCAGAAAGAAGAATAAATAAATGCCAGGTCTACTCTAGATGGTCTAGAGTAGACCATCTCATGCACTATGATCCTAAAGGCTTGTCAAGATAAACTACTTCCCTCATCTCTTAAAGATTACCCTTTTTTAATGGATGTCAGAATGAAGAAATGCTTAAGAAGCACCAATCAAAAGCAAAGATCATTAAATGTTTTGTGTAAAAGGCCAAGTAATAAAATATTTTTGACTCTGTGGCCATATGGTCACAACAGCAACTATAAAAGCAGCTATGGATACATGTAAATGAACGGGTATAACTATGTTCCAAGAAAGCAATTTAAAAGAATAGGCAGCAGGCTGGATTTGGCCATGTGTGTAGTTTACTAACCCCTGATACAAAAGGTTATTCCCACACTGGGTCATGGATCCCACCCTAAGGACATTGTAGAAAAGAAATCGTGTGTTAATGGCCTGGGCTGTTAGAACCTTTGAAATGGCATCAACCCCCAAAAAATTAAAAACAGAAGAATTTACAAAGCAGTTAGTTCAGTAGTCTATGAAATTAATCTTAATTGACTCTATTAGCTCCTTTCCAGTGAATAAGAAAATATAGGATTAAGATGAGTAGAGGCTTTCTCTACTTCACTTAGAGTGAAGTTCTGAACACATCCAAGTCAAGACCTTGTTCTCACTAGAATTCCTCTGAGATGATAAACTGCACAGCAGTCTGTCTTTTAGAGAAAAATCCTGGAGATATGTGATCTGAGAGGTAGTGGTCATCTCCATTTGCCACTCTGAGGCCAGATAGTGGATTCAGAGAGTGAGCTATAAGAAAGAAGGAGCTTCAGATGGCTGCAGTCGAGGCATGATAAATGTTCATAAGGAAAGGAAATGCACCTAGTGAGACCCTCGGAAGAAATGTCAGTGAGAAAACATTCTACAGCTAAATAAGTCCATGGGAACCTTATTAGCACCCCCAGTTGTAGATGATAGCTATGCAACTCATAAGCTTAATTGCATCAAATTTTAGAGGATGCATTTCTCTTATGGTTCCTAGCCAAGGATATGAAAGAGTCGGCTTCAGGCAGGACTTGATCTGGTTGCTCAACATCTGTGATTAGGAATCTGTTTCTCCCACTCCAGTTTGAGAGGTGTTGCTTTGCCAGTGTTGGTTTCATGACTTTACATACATTAGGTCTTCTCCAGAAGACCTGGGTTCATGATCTCAGAAAAAGGGATACTGTCTCTCCAGTGTAGATTCTCTTCATGTACTTGTGATTGGTCATCTTTGGTCGTATGACCACGACTGAGAGTGTGAATCAATCTTTTGATTGACAGCTATACCTAAATTATATAGGGTGGGAGAGGGACTATTCCCATATGGAAGGGGCTGTTGGTGGACAAAATACCAGTATGTCTACTCTAGTACCTAACCAAGGAATAAGACACGCAACTGACTGCCATATCCAGAAAAAAACTAGCATTCAACTATGAACTTCATGCCTCATGGCCAGGTCTAAGAAGAGAAGAGGCAATGTTACAGCAAAAATTTCGGGACTCCACAGCCTCTCTCTAAACCTGGGCCAGGCAAGATCACTTTCAAGTTTTTTAAGTTTCAAGACATATTGGGTGTGGACTAGGTGTGCAGTTATGAGACAGTCATCTAGGATAGATGACACAAACATGGATAAGCTGTATAGGAAGAGTTCTGCTCTAAAGAAACTCAGTATCTTGTGGGCTTCAGAATTGTCTCCAAATCAATTGAATGTGCCAAAATAGGACACATTCTACAGGTGCAAATTACAAAGAGTTGCTCCCAACTTGCACAGGATTTTTAAACTGATAGGTAAGATATATTGCCAGTTTTCACCCTTGTCAACTACCCAAAGCCTTAGGTTGAGTATGCATCCTGGGGCCTCCCTCGTGGCACAAGGGTTTAAGCACAGCCCTGTGAAGCTGTCTGCAGCTTCTGCAGCACAAGTTCGATCCCCGGCTGGCCTGGGAACTCCCCACATGGCGCAGCAGACCTCTTCTGTCTCACCCACTGCTGCTGATCCCCTCAGCACTATGTCTGTTGGTCAGTCTGCCTGTTCTGTTCCCCACTCTGTCTCTGATGGATCACTTCCCACACCTCTGGCCTGTCCCCCAGTTCTTGTATGCATAAATAAATAAATCTTTTTTTTTAAAAAAAGGATGCATTCTGTTAACTAGGCTTTCCACAGTTCTCCCTTTACCACCTAGGAGCTAGGATGCATCAATCTCACAGAGAAGCATAGGAGTTGAGATGGCACTTGAATACATTGCCCACTAAGGTGGGGGAGGGAGGGCGGAGAGCTCTTCTTTTGGTGAAACTGCATGAAGTATAACTCATTTGCAAAGATACTTGAACTAGACCTTCATGTCAAAGTGTGTTCCTGGTATACCAGTCTGTGAATAGGCTAAGAGCACATGGACTTGCCTAGAAACTTCCTAGCAGCACTACTCTGTTTGGAGATAGTAGTGATACACAGGGCAAGCTAGGGTTATTAGGCAGTTTTAGGGACAGTGCAGAAGGGGACCTCTGAAAAAATTAGGGAGGCTTCAGAGATAAGGACAACCAAGGGAATGTAACCAATTCCACTGGGAAAAACAAACATCCCAGAACCATTGTTAACAATAGGGGAAAAACAAACATCCTAGGACCAGGACAATATTGTTAAGGATGGTCCTGGTTTTCTTCAGGTGATAAAGTGTAGAGATGCTCACCTGGAGGACTAGACCATAAAGATAAAGCGATAAGCATAACAAATGGGGAAAGAAAAAGCTGTTAGATAAGGAATGTGAAATTCCCCCACTTAGTACCCCCTGGGAGTTAGCCAATCAGGAAGAGAGACTGAAATTTTAACATAATGAGAGAGAGAAAGTATATATTCCTAAAGTAATATCCCGTACAGGTTCATCTCAGCCCCTCCCAGGTACCTTATACCTGGGAGTCTTTCTTCTTTGTCTCTTTTCTTCCTAAATAAAACTCTTCTTTCAAAGACAAGATTTGTCTCTCTCTGCTTACTTACTCCAAAAAGTCTGTGAATTCCTTTCTACGGTTTCGCGAGACAAGAACTCGTGGTAAAGCAGCAGCAGTTGTTACACACGCCGGCATCAGTAGCATCCCCAGTTGAGAGATGAGAAATTAATATTTTGTTCAGACGGGAAAAGTTAGAGAGACATTATAGACAGACGAAGCGGCTGGCTTTCTTGTAATTGAAAAACAAGCCACTTAAATATCTCATTCCTCCAGTTGGAATTGTTAGGGGGAAAAGGATGTCCCAAAGCTAATTCCATATAGGCTTTGTGGACTCCACCCCCACCCCAGGCCAAAGCCAAAGCCACTGGGAACTCCAAATCCCATCACCACCAAAGGGAAGGTGGCTGGGACCTGAGGGTGGGGTTAAGCAGCCAGGTTTGGTAAAACCGGACACGTGGCTCTCCACCAGCTCGCGGCCAGCTCTGAGAGTGCCTTTGGGTTTCCAGGTCGGCGGATCGGGTAGGACGCATGAAAGACTTTATTTCCCTATTTTCTCCCTGAGTTGTAGATTTCCTTAATTCCCTTTCCCTTGTAAATAAACCTTTTATTAACCTTTTGTGTGTGCCTGTAGTGGAGTACTAATAAGTCCCTTTTTAACGTGCGGGTGAGGACCCACAGCCAGGAACCCGTTTTATATTGGGGTTGCCCCATAACAGAATCAGTTGCTAGGTAATGACCGAGTGTCTTGCCCCCCTCCCCCCATTGACTTGGCTTAAATTTAGTAGTGACTCTTTCCTGAAAATGTTTGTGTTTGCCTAGTGTGTCTGCTGGGATCACTCAGAAACACTAAGTATAACAGGAGTAAGGGATTGAATATGGAAATTAGGGTTTACAATAAGTTGGCAACAGCTGGAGGGCATGCAAACCTCCAGCTGGAAGACCTCAGACGACACTGCTTGAGCCTGGGGCAGGTGGGGAAACCAGAGCTTGCAAGGAAGGCCTAGACGTCACCACATTAACTCCACAATGGTCCTGAAGCAGTGGCTTATAGAGAGGACTACTAGTCGAGTGTCTGATCTCTCCCAATCCCCTAAGAACAACAATGGCTGCACTTCTGCCTTTGAAATCTCACATGCACTCTTCTCAGTGGCACATTCAGCCCTAGAACCATACGGGGAAGTATGTGTCTCAGCTTTAGACTAGGGCAGAGCCCACAGGCATTGAGTACACTGTGGCAGGCACCATGATCTCGGGCCATGCATTGGCTTCCAAAACACACACTCCATGCTCCAGGTGAGAGGATTCTTACTATGTAGCAACAAGTGTAGTGGGGCAACCAGGCACAAGGTGGGCAGACAGGGAGGCCAGGAGGCTAGCTGGCCTCCTATCCCCCGGCAAATCTGTACTCCTTTCTCTCTGGACCCTCCAGCGTTCTCCCGTGGTCTTTTCCTCTTGTATCAGTAGCTCATCCTCTCAAAGTTGCTCCACCATCACTGCCCTTGGTCTCTGAGTGACCCGCTCTTATAGCCTCTGCCGCCAGGCTCAGATGTGCCCACTTGCACATGCCCACACCACACTCCAGGTGTGGCCACCATCAGGCACGCAACGCATGCCCCGCACCCACGCTCTCAAGGGCCTCCTGCATTCAAGACCGCAGGTGATAGCCACTGAGGCCGGTGGCTTAAAAGCCTGACCAATTTCACTTACCCTACATGCCCTAATTTCCTTGTGTTTAATGAGGAAAGCAAATTTCATTTTTACCCTTTTCTAGGCATGTCCAGTAATGGAAGTTCATGGTTTTCACACTGGGCTGATTCCATGCCACGGGAGCTGCTCGGACATCTTGTGCTGGGAAACAGGCATGGCTTTGGAGTTACTCTTTTTTTTTTTTTAATAGAGGCATGTTTTATTTATTTATTTGTTTGTTTGTTTTGTTTATACATGCACTGTGCTGGGAAACAGGCATGGCTTTGGAGTTACTCTTTTTTTTTTTTAATAGAGGCATGTTTTATTTATTTATTTGTTTGTTTGTTTTGTTTATACATGCACTGGGTACAGTCAGAAGCGCGGGAGGGTGAGAGAATTCACCAGAGCCAGAGCGGGGAGCAGAGCAGGCAGAAGGACCGAAGTACACTGCTGAGGGGAGCAGCGGGCGGCAGGAGAGGTCTGCGCGCCATGTGGGACCCTCCTCCGGTGGCCGGGGAGCAGCCGGGGATCGAA